CTTGTCGAAACTCCGCTATTCGTGTGATATTTTCCCCAACCAATCGCAAAAGCAGATTTACCGTCAAAATTTTCTGAATCTTTATAAGCAAGGTTTATCGGTCGAATAGTTCCTAAAATAGAGAAATGTGTATTTAACTACTTTTTAATGTCAATGCTGCGACATTATATTAACATTAATAATATTTTTTAAAGGGAGAACCTGGTTTAAATAGTCAAAAAATTTTTATTTTTTTTTTGCTTTAATTAATAATAATACTATAATATTATATAAATAAATAAATTTATTAATAGTTTTTCAACATATTAACATCTTTATAATATGATGTCTGATTGTAGCATCAAATTATTAAAATTGCTTGTCAATTTAATTCGCGATTACTAAAGTAGTTTAATTGTGTTTATAGTCCGGAAAAACAGTTTCGGCGCAGCGGGATTGGTAAGGATTAATGTTTTTTTTTTTTAAATAAAATATATTTTAATTTTTCTTGAATATGTTTTTAATGCTTCAAATATGTTTTAAACAGTATTGTAAAAAAAACATTTAAAACATATTAAAAACATCAATTAAGCATGTTTTGAACTGCACGTGTCAACTGTTCAAAACGTGCTTTTTACCAATCCTGCTTAGATATTTATTTTCAAGAAAGGCATACGCAAAACTCAAACGAGAGTTTTAATTCCACCATTTGGCACCTCGTTCTAAAACACTTATTCTTGCGCAAAAATTATCGAAATCGTTGCCTTCGTTTCCGCATATGTCTTGAAAGCTATTCTAGCATTTTAAAGATAATGTAGTTGTTGGAAATAATAAATATTGGCCAATATATATTGTAAAATATTCGCCGACAATTGCGATGAGCAAATTACGAGGCAAGAACGGCGCCGATTAAGCAACATGAAAGAGGCTCGTACAGCTCGTAGACTGCAACTAACGCGACAAAACGAGTTTTATGAAAAAGCGGAAAGTTTGTTGTATGGGCCTGGAATAGCGGATTAGCGATAAGTTGCAAAAAAGCACTATTTTTTTATATCGAAAATTTTGAACGGGTTTTTCTCGAAATCACTTTTTCGAAATTGGCGTGCAAGATTACTCAAAAATTATCAATTTCTTGTAAGGTTTTTTTAGTTACATAATTGTCAACCATCCTAGATAAACTTTTAAAACGTTTATTAAAAAAAATTAGTATAAATAATTATTTCTGCTTATCTCAAATAAATTAAAATTTTTTTGTTCAAAATCATTACTTTTTCTTCAAGATTCTTCACAATTCTTAGAATTTGATACCTTTCTCTTATTTTTTTTAGTTCATCAAGGATAACATATTATCTAAT